GTTTTACGGAAATATTGTAACAATACTATATCAGGGGTATCGGGTTCGAGCACATCATCTATAAGGGTGTTTAAGCATTTATTGTCAAATGATTGAGAGTCTTTCGAACAATTACTACATTCTAATCACTCCATACTAATAAAATAAAATCGTGAGCCTAGATTTATGTTCTCATATGAATCCCCTTGAACATGTTCTTGTTTTAGAAAAATATCTTATATTAACTACAATTTAACATATATGTATATAAGGTCCATTTGTTTTACTAAAAACAATTTCCGGAAAATGAATTCTGGAAAATGTTTTACAAAAATGTACATCATTTTCTAGAAAACATTTTCCAGTGTTTGGATGGTACATTGTAAAATGTTTTACACTGTTTGGTTAATTTTTCTAAAAACAATTTTTAGAATATGTTTTTAATAAAGAATCATACATATTCGATATGTTTTATTCTTCATTATTTTTAAAGGTTCATTTTTTATATATAATTATATTTTGTAAAAATCTATATTTTAGATAATATTAATAATTTATGTTGATTGTGTTATAAATACACTATTTTAGATTTATTTTATGTAGGGTTTATAAAAATCTGTATTTTAGGTTTATAAAAATCAGAGAGCTAATATATTTGAATTTATAAAAATCAGAGAGCTAATATATTTGAATTCATTTCACTCAGTAACTCGAGTAATTTGAACTCAGATTAATAACTAACTAACAATCTTGTAGTACAAGTAATCCACCAAGTAACTTAACCTATATAAATTTGAGGTGAAAATAGATTGTATTACAAATTGAATTACCATTCATCATGGTTTTGCATATTTTTGTAAGCTTCTAGTGTGTAAAAGACTTGTCGTCTTTTCTGGGTACTTTCTTCCTCTTCCTTTCACATTGGGGTTCTTTTGCTTTAAGCTCATCGCGGAAAGACCTCAACGACGCAGTTAAATGTTCGTTTCTATGAGCAGAAAATGGAAGAGAACAAATTTTATGTTTCAATGGAACTGAGCAAAATATGGATCAATATGATACATACCACAAAGAAGTAGCTAAACGTTCATTTCTATGAGCAGAGAATTGAAGAGAGTAGATCTCATGTTTCTATGGATCTGAACAGATACGAATTGGCTACTTTGAACATGTCCATATGAGATGTACCTCGACGAGGCAATAAATGATCATTTCTATGAGCTGAAAATGGAAGAGAATAGATTTTATGTTTCAATGGACCTGAACAAATACGAACTGCCTACTTCTAACCTGTCTATATGAAATGGACCTCAACATATTTGATACGATTCGACTACTTCTAACCTATTGATATGAAATGGACCTCGAAAAGACAACAAAATGTTTATTTCTATGAGCTGAAATTAAAGTGAATAGGTTTTATATTTCTATAAATCAGAACAAATATGAATCCACTACTGTGATATGAAAGAAGCAGGGTCTCTCTCTCTCTCGAAATAAATCACTACTTAGAAGATGATAATGGTTGTCAACAGGGTTTTAAAAAACGGTCCGCGACCGCGATTTCGGCCGCGATATAGCAGTTTTGCCGCTGTCCGAGTTACCCGCGACGGCTGCAATCACGGTAAATCCGAAATAACCGAAAACACGACTGCGACTTGAAACCCTTGTTGTCAGCGTCATTAACTCAAAATAAAAGCATAAAAGAAGAAATAAATCAATTATTTGAGATTAGTGACACACTCACCAGAAACTATGACATCTGCCATGGTCACGAATTTACGACCAGCGTGGTGTGCAAATAGCTCAAGGTCCTTTGCCAGCAGACTTGCAACTCAAGTAGCCGAATTAATATATACTTACACTAGTTTTAGACTTTTAGTATGTATATATTTCAATATCTTGGTACCTAAAAATAAACACATTATTATATTGGTGTAAGTATATTTATGTATTTTCAATGAAATAAAAAATTAATAATAATAAAAAATATCGTGATTTTTAATTCAATTAAATAAGTTTAATCTTCAATTAGGTGGTGAATTTAATCTCCAAACGTGATTACATGGACACTAAGATTATCGTCTGTCGATTTACAATGGACATTGATGTCGGTCCTTGGCTTATTTTGTTGGTGATACAGTCACCCCGTGTTAGCAGGAGCATGAAACAGATGAGTGACAATGACGAGTTTTGAGTTAAACATGCCATGACAAATTCAATGACAACACTTGGTTTTGTTTTAGCTTATAGTTTAATATTCTTTTATAGAGGATTTGAAGTGTACGAAACGGATGAATTGATCATTTGTATTAGATTTATTACGTTGTTATCTTCTCCTTGAAGGTTTATTATAGAAAAACTGTAAAGTAACGATCAAGACCGGTCCAATGAGTTTTAATGCCCTGGGCGAGATAATAATTTTATGCCCCTATATTTGTACTATATAATAGACATTTATAAATAAATTTTTTAAAACAAAAATGTAATAGAAGTATAATATTGGATTCACAAACAAAGTAAGTAAGCCATCACTGAAGTCGCGTAAGAAAAGCTTAGCCATAATAAACTAAGGATCGGTGTACCTGACAATGCATACAATTTTTTACCCAAATAATACAATGATAAAAGGAACAAGAGATGGAGAATAAACATTCATGACCATCGCCAATATAAACCCAGCTATGCAAACAATGAAACAACACAAATTATCATCAATAAAGCACAAGAGCAATCACATGCCAACTCACTACTGTTTAAGCTCAGGAAATCCAAACGAAGTGAGATAACACACAGGGGTGGAAAATACCCTATAAATTGGAAAATAATTCAAAATGTCTACATCAAATGTTGTTAAACGGATGTGACAATCAACAAGCCATTTGTGGAGTAATTAAATTCCATATTTAAAGAAATAGATAATTGCATCATCCAAAGTAGCATTTAAACTTCTACTAAATGCCAGATAATTTGCTAACTGACTACTTTTACATTGATTTCTAAAACTCCAGCCAGCAAGCATAAAGCTGCTTGTTAGGGTTTTATTGTTTTAAAACCCGACAATTGCATGTATGTGATCGAATGCGACATAAATAAGCAAAATCTGAACTCAAATGTCCTTTACCTTTGTTTTCATAAAGCTTGTTTTTTACCCTTTCATTAAGTTTACATAGTTAAATTAAACTAGAGCATAAATCATTCAATTTATTTTTATACTTATTCATTTGGAGATTTTTTTGTCACCAAAAGTATATCTAATATTCAAATCTTTTTTAATATTTTCCAAGTTATCAAACACCTAAATTACACAATTTTGAAGCTTGCTACTTTCTCGGTACCTCAATAAAGAAAGTGAAGAGAGATTACAAACGAAGAAGGGGAAGGGGGAAGCAAAAAACAAAAGGAAAGTTCTCCAAACCCTAGAAATCACCATTTTACCACAAATATAGCACAAACAGTCGTGTAAGCATGTATATAAACAAGATAGACATATGAGTAGCAGAAAATCCGCACATTGCTTGGATTTCTTGAAGCCACCATTACCGTTCAAGGAAGCCTCGGGCCTCACTCTCTTGCGTCAACCACCAGAGTCCATTCGGTGAGCATGGACTAAGCTGCGATATGAAAAATCTGGTGCGAGTTGCCTTAACACCTGTCAAAAATCATTTCGAGAAACTCATTTTTGTTTCAAATAAATCAAAAAAATGTCGAGCAAACTTTAAAATGGCCAAGGAGTAACATGGTAAATGAGAATACCAGTCCTGTGAAGCCCATGTGGGCACCTTTATGCACACTTGCTCGAGGATGATCTTCGGGGATCAGATGAGAGCGATTTGCTATCCTCGAAACTTGACTGTGAACAGACTAGTCGTCTCTTCTCAGTAACCTCGTTTTTTATGTGATTTTCCAAAATCTGAGGGGGAAAAATTGAGGCTTTAACTCAAAAGTAACAACACTAGCAATTAACCTGATCACAGTTACTTTCCTGATCGTTAAAACAAGTCTGTGCACTACCAGACACTAGAAGTGATATGTGAATCGAACTGCAGGTTGAGAAGTCATAGCGCATGGTCACCACACCCACGAGAAAATGCCCCTGCCTGAAGAGGTGGTGGTAGAGCACTATAAGAACGGAACCCCATAAGTATGTTGATGATATGGCACATGTATTGGGCCGGCTCTGGTAACGATCCCATGCAGCTCGAAGCAGATACACTGTCAGTTCAATCAGTAGGGTTTTGAAGCCTTTATCACCATGCAAACCGTATCTCCTCAACGATGGCTAATAACTCTGCTCGAGCAATGCGTTGCATTACGGTGGAAACCAACAATCCGATGTCCATTTCTAACACCTCCCGCAACTCTTGTCTTTGTGTTTATGCTTGTTGATCCGTCGATGGTAAGGTTCATCTACTCGGTTGGGGGTTTCCATTAGACATGCCGATTTACATTGGTTAAGTGGTGAGCCTAGCACGGACCAAGAAACCGTAGTAATTAAAGGGATAATTATTATCTCTAAAATTATAGGGTTTAAGCACGTTGTATGTTGGGGTGTTTGAATATTCATTGTTAAATCATTGAGAGTCTTTCGAACAATTACTACCTTATAATCACTCAATACTAATAAAAAGAAATCGTGAGCCTAGACTTATGTTCCCGTTTGAATCCCCTTCGAAGTGTTCTTGTTTTAGAAAATATCTTATATTAACCACAATTTAACCTATTTATAATTTTAAATACTATTTGTAATCATTTTGAACCCGTTATTGTTTGAATCCCTTGAATTCATTTTTTTAAAATACTATTCCATGTTATAATCACCCCAAATTATTCAAAGAAAAATCTAGATGTAAAATTTTGTCAAATATTAATCAAGTATTAAAATTGATTTAGTGTTAAGTGCAACTATAAGTAAAAAATCGAAAGTAAAGTGATAAAATAGGAGTGACAATAAAGTTTAGTTACTGAATTTATAATTTACCCTTGATATTACTGTAACCTTTGAAATGAAAACTTGAGTGTTTATGCAAAGATGTTTTTGGACGAACAAGCCCATCCGAAGCACACCGACCTTATTTTACCATTTTGTTGTACTTGGATTTTGGAAACCCATCAGTTCCCTTTCTCTTATCGGCTGCTCGGCGGCGACGAAAACGGCGGTAGCTTCGCAAGAACCAGGTTAGTCTTACATCTTTTTTTTTTAATTTCCATTTTCACAAAGGGTCGATTAGCATAGACTGATTAAACCCCAGTGTGATGCTCTCGTAATTTGAAGATTGATTGTCCGTAAAGCTATTGGGTTGTTTTAATTTAATGAAAGATTGAATCTTTTCAGCAGTTCATTTTGAAAGCTTTCAGTTTTCGCTTGAGTTGCCTGACTTTTCACCATGAATCATTCGTGGCATACCCATTCAGATATGATTATTGGGATATATTCCTCTAATTACCATTCAAATTCATGAAGAACTTGGCAAACACATGTTCTTTTACTCGAATTCGAGTCCGATTAACTTAGGTTACCACTCTTGTGTTGATGGTTCGAGCTATGTACATTGGTTCTTGTTTCTGCTTGTTAGTTAGTCCCTATTTGGTTGGATTGGATGATAGAATGGTTGGATTTACTTCTTTGAGAATCAATTTGAGTTGTCTTTTGCTAATTCCATCGAGATATTCCGTTGGTGCTTGCACCATTTCCATTTTCATCATGCAACTGGAACTAAATATGGGTGGGTGTAATCGAGCTGAGTTTAGCTTTAAGTTGTCAGAAACTCAAGCTTAATCGAAATTTGTGGCTCTAAGCTTTGTTTGAGCTTGATTGAGTTTTACTTAAAATTCAAGCTATATTTGAATCAAGCTACTTGAGCTCACTCGGTTAAGCTCATTTATCTAGTCAGCTCAGTTATTTGCACTTGAGCTGTTGAGTTCAAATGCTTATAAGATTTTTAAGTAATTGATTAAACATATAAAGCTCGATTAGGCTTGTGAGCTACTCAAGTCGAACATTAGGATACTCTAATTTGGCTTGCTCTGTATCTCTATCTTTTTTATTCTAACATTAAGTATGTTCAATTTTAGAAAGTTTTTCATCTACTCTAAAGTCTTTTGAGCACCATATCTGTATACTTATGTCTAGGTATGCTTCGAATGTAAACATTTTAAGGAAAATGAAGGATTTGAGCAATATAATCTCTCAAGTATAACTCAATTGCAAAACTTTGATTCTTCTTCTTTTTGGTTGAATTGGGTGGTTTAGGCATCAACTCTTGGAAGCTAGTTTTCACTTTCACATGGTTGGTTACTAATTTCAGCTTTCACTTCCCTCGCACCAAGCTATCACATCTCACGCATCGCCATAATCAAAGTGAGTTTCAACATAAATCATCTACTGGATTCAGATGCCTTGAAATAAATTAACCATAAAGAAAAGTACTAGTAAAGGGTTTGCCTTTTTTTTTTCTTTCCTAAAGTGTTGGAAATACATGTTTATTTGAATGAGTTTATCGAGTCATTTGAAATGCTTGGGATTTGGAGTTCATACATTTAAACTGGAAATCTATGTATTTGGGGACATGACCTCTAAGGATATCCTCCAAATACATAGAAAAACTTAGAAAAATCTAGCCATACCTGTGTCTGATACATTCCCATGTATGACACATTCCCATGTATGACACATTCCCATGTATGACACACTTACACCCGAGTTCGAGTAACATAGCTGGACATCACAGTACGAAATTTTGAAATACTTGATAATTAATGTGTGTTGAAGTTCTTGAATTGCCAGTAGCTTAATTCTCAGTATATGGTATCTGTATTTCGTCAAGCTAATATTAGGCTCCGTGGCCCTGATGTATAGGATGTATAGCAATTTGTGTTTAAAAAGTCCGATTAATTGGTTTATTTTCGGGCAGGCTGCCTTGTCCAGTTTAATATTTCAACCTGGAGGGACATTGAACTGGCCTAAAAACCGGTTTATTTTCTATTTTCTGAATATACAACATGGTCAGTATGTTCATCCAATTCATGAATGAAGAGTGAAACATACAACACAAGCAAATTCCATTTCGTTTGTTTTCAAACATATTGTAGAAGCTCATTGAACCCATGTTGTGCTATTGATCAGGAAAAGTGCTGGGAAGATCATCCTGGAGAAGCAGAAGCCGAAATTTTATGGTGAACCTTGGAAGGTGCTCAAAGGTGATGTACTCCCACCTAATGAATGAAAACCAAAAGATTTTCTCGAGGAAAAGGATGCTCGGACTCTTCATTTTTCTTTAAGTGCTTGTGTTTGATCCATCTATGTCGGATATATATACTCATATCCTATGGTCACACTCGAATCAAGTAATATAGGTTTAGTATGCAAATGGAAAGCAATTCCCTTCTTTTTATATATATATATAAAGTGACCGATTGAGTTGATGTTAAAAGTGAATCGAACTTCAATTTAGTTAATAATTTTAAAATATCATACGTTATTAAATAACATCTTATAGTTAATTTTTTCATTTAAGTTTATTATATGGCGTCTTTTAAAAGATAATTTGTTATAAAAATATCAATAGAACTTTGGTTTAAGTGGTAAAATGAAGATTTTTGGGAACTCATATTCGAAACTCAACTTATGTGGAAAATATTACTGTTTTCCTATCGTTTTTTTTAATAAAATAACTATTATTTGCTCTATTTTTTTGACTTTTTAATAAAAGGGTAAAATATGTAAATATTCCCTCAATTGTTAGGTGTTTTTTTGTTGAGTTTTTCTACTGTGAAAAGTTATAAAATGGTCATCCAAATTAAAACAATTACAAGTTGGTCAACTTTTTGTTTTGTTAAAATGTTAACGGTGAATAATACAGTTAATAAAATTGGTATAATAGAAACTTAGTCTATAATTTTTACACATTGTTACGATTTGATCTTAATTCTTAAAAGTTAACCTTCTATTTTTTTTTAAATTGCATTAATTTAGTTTATCTTCTAATTCATTTTCATAATTATCATCTTCACCATTATCTTTCACCACCAGACGGGTTGCCATTCCTTCACCACCACTGTCAGCCAGCACCGTGAATCGGAGTGTCAAGGAACATTGGAAAGAGAGATTTCTGCTTTCAATGAAGGGTTGTGGTTCATTGTAAATCAGTCATCATGTCGATGAATATATAGACATCGAGATAAGGATCAAAATTGGAATTGTGATTTTGTTTTGGGTACAAGACTTGGGCTGAAATTGAACTGATACATGTGTTATAATGTACAATGGCATATTGGGACCGAAATTAAGAAAATTCAATTAAAAACCACCAAAGGATCACTATCCATTCTTCCATTTCTTTCTTGCCACAAGTAATAGATGAAATAAGTCCAGGTGAGTCTGGTAACGATGGAAGCTGGTGACTTCCCCCTACCATTCTACTGAATCCCTTCCAACGCTATTTTCTACGAACCATGTATGTTCGGATTTAAAGCCTGCAAAACCATCCCCCAAACATTTTGTGCAAAGGAACAATGCACCAACAAATGATCTCTACTATCCTTATCCCCATTACATAACAAGCACATTGTATCAACTTGACATCCCCGAGCTTCCGATATGGTTTTCGTCGGGAATCTGTAGTGTATAGCCATCCATATCTGGGAATATTCTCATAGGTAATGGGTGTTAAAGCAGTAGGAATCACACTGAAGTCATGGTTTGTAGGCATGAATCAATATAAATACTATGATAACATGGATATTCACAGTAATTGTCATCTTTTGCTGTCTTCTGCAAATAAGTTACTTGCACAAGGTAAGCGTCGAGACTACGATTTCAATGCATATACATCATACTCTTACCTTTTTGTCAGTTGAAATAAACATAAGCTAACCTAATATAATCACTTGAATTGCTGATAAACAATAGATTTGGTGGACAGAGGATGAGAAACTGTGCTGTCCAACTTCCCCATTTAGCATTGGAGTTGTGTTTTTACTAGTTCTAACAGTATTTGGACAACATTGCAAATTACTCATTTTTAAATTAATTACTTAGAAAAGTTCTTTCAAATCATATTTTTCTTATATTCTTAATTTACATATGTTCATCCGCTCTAGCTTCAAATATTGTTGTTTTCTTGTTACTACTAAAAGCTCAAGTTTTTTTTTTGCAGACTCTGGACATGTTCAACACTGCTTTTGTATGTCCTGTTCACAGCTTTCATCATTATTGCCAGCATGATTATGTCATGTTTAAGGTAAGTTTTCTTAAAACATTCTTACCCACTGTAACTATAAATTCATAGAGCTATTCCAAGTGAGTTTTACAAAGAATTGAAAAGTCGTCAATATTATAAGAAATTTCTTCCTTCTTGTGCTATCTCCCTCAGCCAGCCAAGAAAATTCATCGTTTTGTGTTTTTGATGACTACTATGATGCAGTAATGAAGGGGCAAAAAGACTGGAAATTTGCATGCAATTCCAACGAGAAGAAAAGTCTTGTGGAATCGGAACTAATTTCCACCTATTGTGTGGTTGTGCTCATTCAATCCATCTCAAACAGCGAAGAAATTTGCTATCTATCTTTGTCTGTTTAATGACTTGACTTAAACACACTGGTGGGGCTTAAATTTCACGGAGTGAGAATAGGGCAAAAAGACTTTGACATTTGCACACAAAGATTTTCCTATAAATATGTTGTCTATACAAACAATCTTCCTTCACAGCCATAGCCAACAAACATGAAGAATCTCCATTTCCTCATTTCCCTCTTCTCTTGCTTCCTTTCTCTTGTGTTTTCCTTTTCTCCTTCTCAATCTCATCTCCCAAAACAATATTGCCTTGATGACCAGAGATCCTCTCTGTTGCAATTGCAGCATGATCTCTACTATGCCCCAAAATTTACCTTCACTTCCAAATTTGAGTTGTGGGATCCCAACACTGATTGTTGCTCTTGGGAAGGAGTTACCTGTGATGATGCCATTGGTCATGTCATCGGACTTGATCTAAGCTACAAAAACCTTTCCGGGACCTTTCACTCCATTTTCGATCTCCATCATCTTCAGCGCCTTAACCTTGCTGGAAACAACTTCAACACCACTCTGCTTTCCTATGGGTTTAATGAACTCCAAAATCTGACTCATCTCAATCTCTCCAGCTCATGTTTCCATGGCCAAATTCCAATGGAAATCTCATACTTAACAAGGTTAGTTTCTCTCAACCTCTCTTATCAAGGCGATTGCTATTGGAGAAATGGTGATGATTATGATTTATCTACTTTGAGACTAGAGAAACCAAGCTTCAAGACATTAATCAAGAATTTGAGGTTTCTCAGAGAGCTTCATTTGGATGGTGTGGACATTTCAACTCATAGTGCTAAATGGTGTGAAACCACATCTCTAGTACTTTCCGACCTACAAGTGCTGAGTCTCTCAAACTGTGGTTTAAAAGGTCCATTGTGTCCTTCACTCTCAAAACTTGGTTTTCTTTCCAAACTTATCCTTGACGGAAATCCAATCTCTTATCTACCTCCCAATTTCTTGAAAATTTCCTCTCATTTGGTTTCTCTCAGTTTGGCAGATTGCAGTCTGAGAGGTCATTTTCCAACAGAAATTCTCTTGTTGCCGAAAATTCAAAGCATTGACCTTTCATATAATTGGGGACTTGAGGGTCATTTGCCTGAATTTCCAACAAATAGTGCTTTACGGAGTTTGTTACTTTATGAGACAAATTTTAGTGGCAAATTACCTGAATCAATCGGTAATCTTAAGTTGTTGAGGGATTTAACTCTTGGTGGTTGCAATTTGTTTGGATCCATTCCATCTTCAGTCGCAAATCTTAGTCACCTGGTGAACTTGGATCTATTTCATAACAATTTTAGAGGATCAATACCTTCTTCTTTATTTACTCTTCCATCATTGAGGATCTTATCTCTCGTTGAAAATCAATTGGTTGGGAAAATAGATGAGTTCCCCAATGCGTCTTTTTCATTGATTGAGGAAATACATTTAGGGAATAATTATTTAACAGGAACAATCCCGAAGTCAATCCTTCAACTCCCAAGGCTTGAAGTGCTTTATATTGGAGACAATAGCTTTAGTTCCATGAAGCTCGACATGTTCTTCCAACTCAACAATTTAAGGGGTCTTGACCTATCCGGTATAAGCTTGTTAATTGAAAGCGACAACACAAGTCTTACTGAATTTCCCAAACTAGAGATCCTAGTACTAAGGTCATGCAACCTTACTGAATTTCCAGAATTCATCAAAACACAAGACAAGTTGGTTGAGCTAGATCTTTCTAACAACCATATCCACGGTGTTGTGCCTAATTGGTTGTGGAAGAGCTCTCTTTCACTGGTAGACCTTTCTTTCAATCCCATTGATTTTCCAAAACAGCTTCCCTTCGGTGATGCAAACTTCTCTTTTCCAAAGATGTTTGAATTAGATTTGAGATCCTGTAACATAAGTGCATTTCCAGAGTTCTTAAGGAGTCAAGAAAACTTAGCATTTCTCGACCTTTCAAATAACAGGATAAGTGGTGCAGTACCAAACTGGGTGTGGAGGAAAAGTTTGCGTGATCTGAATCTTTCTAACAACCATCTCTCATCTTTGGACCAACTTTTACCCAACCACAGTTCAACTTCTTTGCAAGGCTCCTTACCTATACCTTCTTGTAAGATGAGTCAACTTTGGAATTTCGATGCATCTCATAACAATTTGAGCGGCCCAATTCCAAATTGCTTAGGTAATCTGAGTGCTCTCCAATATCTGGATCTTCATGGAAATAACTTGAGCGGAACCTTACCAAAATTTTCAAAAGCTTCCCGACTATGGTTTCTCAGAGTTAGTGAGAATAGATTAGAAGGGAAGCTGCCAAGATCATTGGTGAAATGCACTCGACTTGTAGTTTTGAATGTGGGAAACAACATGATGCGTGATACCTTCCCTTTTTGGTTGGAGAAATTGCCTGATTTGGCAGTTCTAATATTGCGGGAAAATAGATTCTATGGTCAAATTAAACATTTGAAACATAAAATCGGTTTCCCAGCTTTGGATGTGTTAGACATTGCTTCTAACCAATTTTCTGGTGAACTATCCATTGATTTCCTTAATGCCACTCAACTAAGGTCGCTCAAAATCGGTGGGAATAAATTGGAAGGGAAGCTGCCAACATCATTAGCCAATTGCACAGAACTTGAGGTTCTGGACCTTGGAAACAATATGATTCATGATACATTTCCGTTTCAATTGGAGAAGTTGCCTTCCTTGAAGGTTCTCATTCTACGAGGAAACAGATTTTATGGTTCAGTCACAAAATTTGACACTAAACGTGGTTTTCCAAAGCTACGCATTTTGGACATTGCTTCCAACAACTTTTCAGGTGACTTGTCCATTGATTTTTTGCAAAGTTTGAAGGCAATGATGCGGATGACTAATGACGAGAAAGCTAAGCTGGATTACATTGGATGGCAGAACAGAATTGCACGACTGTACTATCAAGACTCTGTGACGATTGTCAACAAAGGGGTTGAGATGTTTTATCAGAAAGTCTTGACCATACTTACTTGTCTTGACCTATCCGACAACAGTTTCCACGGGAGAATACCTGAAGAAATACAAATTCTCATGTCACTCAGAGTGCTAAACTTGTCCCATAATAGCTTCTCCGGCGAAATCCCAGCAGAACTTGACAACCTAAAAGACCTTGAGTCCTTGGATCTCTCACAGAACAAACTGTCAGGGAAGATTCCTCCACAGCTTACAAGTCTAACTTTCTTGTCAGTATTGAACTTATCTTACAACCAACTTGAAGGGAGCATACTACAAAGCAACCAATTCAATACATTTGCAAATGATTCTTACTGGGGGAACCCAAAATTATGCGGAGCACCATTTTCAAGGAAATGCAATGAAGTTGGTCTCCCAATGCCACCTCCTCCAGGGGAAGATGAAGAAGAATCATGGTTAGATGTTATGTCTACTTGGCAAATTGCTTTGGTTGGCTATGGAAGTGGTTTGGTCGCTGGGCTATGTATTGGATATACAGTGCTGAATGAGTTGGGAAACAAATGGGTTTACAAGTTGACAAATCTTGGGAAAAGGAATAGAAGAAGAACTAGATGACTCCATCAGAATTCATGATTTAAAATCAGATGGTTAGCATTTCCTTTTGAAACTAGAGTTTCTCTAATTTGAAAGATAGTTGTTGTAAACTGCAATACACATATACATTATTTTGAATTTAGGTCATGACCTATTATTTTCTTGCAGAACATGGAATGTAAAATTAGGAGGTACATGAGACAGGCCACGTCGAAGGACAGATCGACAACTTGAAGAAAATGGTAAGACCGTTGCAGAAACATGATGATTGCTCGTATTCTAATTTTCATTATTTTCTTTGACCTCTTCTTTAATTCTACCTGAATTAAGTTTATGCATATGAAAAACATGATGATTGCTCGTATTCTAATTTTCAGGCCAACAATCTGAGAAGATAATAAGGCCTATAGACTGCAGTCTGTTATTTGTTCCGAGAAAAAGGAAGTGTGGATTGGCAGAGTAAAATTCAGAAAAGGCTTATCCCAGAACTGGGTGTGGAAGAGAAGTTTGAGTGATCTGAAACTTGCTAATAATCATCTCTCATATTTGGTCCAACTTTTACCCAACCAGAGTTTAACTTCTTCACAAGCCTCTTTACCTGCACCAATTTGCAATATGAGACAACTTAGCTATTTCAATATACTGTGCTAGTGGTTTGGTGGCTGGGCTATGTATTGGATATACTGTGCTGAATGAGTTGGGAAACAAATGGGTTTACAGGTTCAGAATTCATGTTTCAAAATCAGATGGTAAGCATTTCCTTTAGAAACTAGAATATCTCTTGTAAAGTACGATACCTATAAATATTCTTTTGAATTTAGGTTCTGCCCTATTTTTTTCTTGCAGGATGAACTTGAAACAGGACACCAAATCTGCATTATGAAACTGTGACAACTTTCAAGTTACAGCGAATGATGTTGAAAAGATCATTGATTGGGAGAATACATCCAGAAGCAAGTTGAAATCCTCTTCGAGCCGGCTCATGCGGATGGTACAGGTTCACATAACAACTATAAATGGATTAGTATTTTTCCAGTTGAGGAGATGGGGGAACTGAAACAGATGCATCAATGAAATCACTAACAGGCAAAAATGAGTGTAATGAACCAACTAGCTAACATAGATCCGTATATGAGCCCTCAATGTTAATGCCTCCAATCCCCATTTTTCACTCCTATATGAGCCGTTAACGAAATCCCTATATTTGATATTATAATAATAAAATTTATTTTTTATTCAATTTAAATTTAAAAATATTTAAATTTAATTTTAAATTATAATTAAAAATCTAATTTCAATCTGATTTAACATGATTTTTAATTTTAATTTAAAGAAATAGAATATGTAGTTGACCCCATCAGAATCCATGTTTCAAAATCATCAGGTAAGTATTTCCTTTTGAAACTAGTCTCTCTCTAAATTGCTAGTAGGTAGAGCTGTGAGGCTTAAAGAGGCATGTAATCTCATCAATTCTATACCGATGGCGCACGACGTAATGCTTCGACAGAGTTTTCTTGGAACTTGTCGAATTAACAAGGATAATTGCAGGATTTTCATGTTGTTATCGAACTTCTATGCCGCACACGAGAGATGGGATGATCCTGGTAGGGTGGAGGAGAACCAACTGTGTCATATTAGTGACAAGTTTGGCGTTTGATTAGTACAAGCGAAGGATGTCATCCAATACTAAATAAACTCAATGAACATTGAAGGCACTTTAAACTCAAACAACTCTGAAGAAAATACACCAAAAGCCATAGATTTTGAAAAGAAGAAAAAGAACCCAAAATACAAAACAGCACATTGTATAGCACCTTGGAATTTGTCATTCAGTGAATGTTTTTTATTCCTTGGATTCTTCCAACCCACCTTCTAACATTCCTTTGCCAACCTCCTTCAACCATTCTTACAAGCCACCATGGCTTTCCTGTGGTGAACACAATGTATGTTGTGCTTATTCCTACCACAACTCCACTTCCATATCCCATCATTACAAGTCTCCAAAAAAAGCTTTCCGAGAACCTCCATCATCTTCCCTGATCATTTTTGCAGGCTGTTCCGGTCCCTCACCGCTGCCACATTGCTTTGTCAAGGGGAAGCCACATAATCCCAAGTTCCCCTGATACGAATCAGTCTCAAATGTGTTGAATTGCTTTTCATAGGGGATAGGTCCCACGAGGTTGTTCTGTGAAAAAATCAACACTTCCAGAAATGTCAGGTTTGTCAATTGGGAAGGAATCCTGCCACTGAGCTTGTTTGACAAATGATCCAATGATTCAAGTTGTACTAAGTTCCCCAGAGACTGTGGAATATGGCCGGTGAAGCTGTTGTGAGACAGGTTGAGCATTTGGATCGCGCAAAGTTCTCCGATCGCCTCAGGGATTTTTCCATGGAACCCATTACTCGAAAAATCAATGGCTGTGAAAATGAGTAACGTTCTTGCTAGCTCCGGCCCCATCTCTGATCTTTTTGACGTTATATTTTAAGAAATTTGACCATCTTCATTAAATGAACCAAATAGAAGTCTACGGGGCATGAAGGATGGATGCAATATGGTTCGTACATCCTTGAGAGCATCCAGATTTTGGAAAAATGTTGAAGGCAAGGGACCAGTAAACTCATTATGAGAGAGATCAACAATTTGTAATGATGAAAAGGATGATTTAACATCTTTGTTCAAAGGACCATGAAACCTATCTACTCGCATGATCGAAACTTGCAGCTCTGAAAGAACACCCAACCAGTGGGGAAGGCATCACTTAACTTGTTATTTGCTACACTTAAAATTCTCAAGGAAGTGCAATTCATAAAGGATCGTGGCAATAACCCCTCCAATTGGTTGTCGTTAAGGGAAAGAACTGTCAACATATTCTGACCAACACAAAAATATGGGATTTTGCCTCTGAGGGTATTCATTTGTAGGTTCATGGTTGAGATGTGAATGCTAAAATTTGCAAGACATGCTGGAATAGTTCCTCCCAGTCCCAAGTGATTTCTATACAGGTCAAGAATTTGAAGTGATGTCATACTGCAAATCGAAGCAGGGATTTCTCCAGTCAAATTGTTGTCTTGGATAAAGATTTCTCCCAATTATGATGGAAGAGCTGGAAGATGACCTTGGAGTAGGTTGGAACGAAGATCAAGGACTTGACGATTCTTCCCTGGCCATTGCTCGAAGCCAGTCAATAAGTTGTGAGAAAGATTTAAAACGCGCAGTTGTTTCCAACCTTGTGTTTCCCACCTGAAGATTGAACCTTGAATTTTGTTATACGAAAGATCGAGATCAGTCAAGCTTTCCGCCGATCGTAAGAAATCCGGGAATGTCCTTCCATTACAAGAGGATAATGATAAAGTAATGAGCTTTGGAAAAGCAGAGTTAACAACACTACTCTCACTACTCCATGACTGCAACTTGTTATTTGAAAGATCAAGCACCAAAAGATGCTTCAGCTTCGAAAGCACATCTAACTTGACGACACCACTGAAATTGTTCTTCGAAAGATCAAGACTTGTAAGATTCTCTAGCCTTGAAAATCCATCTGAATCGATCACAACACAAATTATTCGATGAAAGATCAAGAAAGACAAGCTTTGCAAGGTCGAAGAAGAAACTTGGTATTTCACTATGAATGTCATTATGAGCCAGAGTTACTCGTTGGGCTACTAGATTAGGATTTCAACTCTGATTGGTAAGAGCGGTGAAACTGTTATTGTGGAGGTCTACAGATTGCGCAGTGAAAAGCCATGATGGAATTGTACCACTGAACAAGTTATCACCTAAATGCAAATGTTGTAGCTTCTGAAGGCCGCTTACATGAGTTGGGAGGGGACCTTGTAGGCTATTCAATGCTAAATCTAAGTAAGTAAGCTGTGTGAGGTTGAACAACGATGAGGGAAGTTGACCACTAAAATTACAAAGACAGACTCAGATAAGTAAGTTTGTTGAGGTTTCCAAAAACATCAGGGATTTGACTTTGGAAATTGTTGTATCCAAACTCTAAATAGGTGAGTTTTGTGAGGTTTCCTGCAGGAATTGGCCCTCTTAAATCATAGCCCCAAAGGTTCAAATACATGAGAGGACTACTCCTATTGAACGTTGGGAGATAACCTGTCAAGTCGTTCCCGTTCAGATCAAGATACTCAAGCTGGAATAATTCACTGGGGAGTTCCCCTTGTAAATCACAAGCTAGGAGATACAAACGCTTCAGAGATGAAGACAAGTTTTTGAAAGACGCAGGCGCAACATTGGACATGTTTACACCGGCGAGGAAAAGATTTTCTAGTTTAGATAAGTTACGTGCAAGCTTACCAAAACTGTGGCTATCGATTTTCAAGCCACAACAGGACGTTCGAGAAAGAACGAGTGAAATCAGTTTCGATAGCAAAGAAATATCTGATGGAACTAAACCAGAGAATAAATTTCCAGAAAGATTAAGATGTGTTAGACTCACTAACTGACTTATCCCAGACGGAATCAATTCGCCGTTGAAATCGTTGTAAGCGAGGTTGAGTCGTCGGAGTCCTTGAAGCCGAAAAAGGGTGGTGTTGGGAGAAAGAGAGCCAGCAAGCTTAGAGCAACTAAGGTCCAGGCTAATCACTTTGCCGGTTGCCTTATCACAAGTGACACCATCCCATGTGCAGCAATCCGTATTTTCATTCCAGGACTTTGTTTTGGGATAAGAAGTACCGTGACATAAGAAGTGAGAGGGAGAGTCACCAATGGACAATGTGTTGTTGAATTGAATCAAAGCCAAGTGGTGCACCGGTGAACACAAATGAGTCTGATTAATAGAAGAGGAAGACAACCCCAGGGAACAATGGAACACGGAATGAAAGAACAGCATTAAGAGGAGACTAAGGATTTGATGCAACCATGTAAATTTTCCCATGTTTAGAGTCCAAGAGACAAGCAATGGAAGGAGGCAATGAAGTTGGAAATTTGGTATGAGTTGAGGGCTTGAGAGATACAATGAGAAAGTGGATTCATGGGGAGCATATATTTATAATCTTTAATTTCATGTATTCAATTACATTTCATTCTTTTTACTCAAAAAGATTATTTGATTCGACTCGATCTCAGTATTAATCAAGAATTAAACAGATTTACTCAAAATTATGAAATTATAATTTAAAGAATGGCAATTGTTTTATATTTTCCTTTTCTTTTTGTTCAAAGTAATGTAATTTCTTTTCCTTTTTTATGTTCAATGGATTTCACGAGTAAAATTTTACAATCAAATAGAGGTAAGTCATAAATGTTTTAATATATAGAAATATTTTGTAATTTTTTTAATATGTAAATTTCACCCTCACCAATATATTTATTAAAATTGTCTACTTTTAGTTTTATAACTATTTTTTATATTTCTATTTGATTTTATAACATGTATTTTTATTTTGATTCAGTTTTATAAAGTTAATATATTATAGTTTTGTTTTGTAAAATTCTGTTTCGGGTCAAGGCGAGATCAAGGAAATTATTTTGGGGTTTGGATCCAGGTCGGGTGCTAAAGGTGTAAAATAAAAGGGTAGATTATGTTTTGGTCACTCAAATTTGTCTTTATTTCTATTTCAGTAGTCAACTTTAAACTTTTTTGATTTATCACTCAGTTTTCGGGTTTCACTTTGTTCACATGACTAATAAATGTCTAATGTTGTTTAATTTTATGCGGTAAATTTACACAAAAGGCCACTAAAATTTTCCTCTTGAATCAAGATTTTCATATTCCCTTTGATTACATTGTGAAAGGAAATGTTTTGAAACTAATTACATTATAAATGATGGCCAACATGGATGAAAAACGGTGGAAAAGGATATCAACCATGTGAAAAAAAAGGTTAAAACCAAAATGTAACATTTTGCAACTGTGGTTATACAATTAACATGTTGAATTATAAAAAAAATCGAAATTTGGATGATGAAAAAAATTAAAGTTGGGTGACTAAAACATAAACAAAGACAAAGTTAAGTGATAAAATATATAGTTTATCCCAAAATAAAATTTTGGGCAAGATTGGTTTGGGTATTTTATATTTATATATGAGAATCGAATTTAGAGTTTAAAATTTAGATTATAACACCTTTGTTCTTTTTCTTAAGATCCCTCGATATCCAATAATTAAATAGAATTTTGATTAATTGCAAAATTAAATTACATCTTTCATAGTCACATTGAATCTTAATGGTACATGAAATTAAATAAAATAAAAACTATTAATTTGATATAAAATTACAACAATATATATTTTGTTGGAAAGGGCAGATCATGTAAAGAATGAACGCGTTACTGATTCTACCCAAAACCAAAAGGCAAAAGTGATTATACATTCCAAAAGCAAAAGCAAACGTAAAAAGGCCATGTTCCTACTATCCATGAAATTTCCATGTTAAGAGATTGGAACCTTTAACCTATTGATTCTACCCAACTTTTGGAAGAAAAGTTTGCCTTCTCATTCTATGAGGCAACATGTTTTATGGTACAATTTCGAAATTCGACACCCAACCTGGTTTCCCAATACTTTGCATTTTGGACATTGTTTCCAACAACTTTTCAGGTTACTTGTCCGTTGAATTTTTGAAAAGTTTATAGATAATGATGCAGATAACTAATGGCGATAAAACAATGCGAAAGTGCATCGCAGTCGAATATTATCAAGACTGTGACGATTGTCAACAAAGGGGTTGAAATGGTTTACGAGAAAGTCTTGACCATTCTTACTTGTCTTGGCCTTTTCAACAACAGTTTCCATGGAAGAATACCAGAAGAAATACAAATACTTATGTCACTTAAAGTGTTAAACTTGTCCCATAATGATTTCTCAGGTGAAATTCCATCCACACTTGACGACCTAGAAGTCCTTGAGTACTTGGATCTCTCACAGAACAAACTCCCAGGGAGTATTCGTCCACAGCTTACCATACTAACTTTCCTATAGGCATTGGAATTGTCTTACAACCAACTTGAAGGGAGCATACCCTAAAACAATTAATTCAATACATTTTCAAATCATTCTTACCGGGGAACCCAAAATTATGTAGGCCGCCATTGTCATGGAAATGCAATGAAGTTGGTATTCTAATGCCACCTGTAGGGGCGTTCACTTCTCGGTTTTGATCGATTTAACTGGCTGGACCGAATTAGTTTGGTTAAAGTGGTCGGTCACTGAACTAGTTCGGTTAGTGAACGGTTAATTTTTTTTCAATATTTAGTTGACGGTTAATTCGGTTCAAAATCGGTTAATTAACCAAAAATATTAAATATTAAGTATTAAATATATTTAACCACCCTAGACTCCTTAAATTATCAATATCTAATTAAATTTTAACTCAAATTAATCTAACTCAAAATATTATTAAAAAATTCGATTAATTAAGTAACCGACCGAATTAATGGTTAGATGTTATGTCTACTTTGGAAAATTGCTTTGGTAGGCTATGGCAGTGGTTTTGTTGCTGGGATATGTACTTGGAAAAAGCTAGGTGTTGTAGTAAAAGTTGAGTTCTATGATCATAAATCTCGAGCAGGGTATGTTTTGCCTTGAATAATATCCGGTTTATAGGAATTGGTCATCATTGTAGTTACTTTCAATGTTCATATGGGAGAGGGTTTGGCTGAATTTATCTGTGGATCATACAACGTTTCAGTACCTTAACTGGTAAAAGTGACGAGCAGTAAGTGTTCTCTTTCCTTCTCGTTCGGTAATGTTTGAGAAGTTATATTATCAATATATTTAAGGGTATAAATGAATAAATGAACTGTAGGCAATATAGGTTGGTTGGTGAATATGGTTTAACAGACAAGCCTAACAACACGTATAAATAAGAGATAAATAATCTTACGCTAAACCATCTGAGATTATTGATACATTGTATAGAATTGGGTTAGGATTGAGAGATGCCATGGTTTTACCTTGAACTTGAAGTTTGATCATTATAAAAGGACAGTTCAGACTTAAATGTAAATCAACATTTACCTTCTGTTCTCCACTCAAGAGTCAAGTAATTCAATTGGAAAGGTAAAACAAATAGTGGAGAAAACTTACATTTTACATAGTTATTGGGGATTTTCACTTTTAACTATGAAAATTGAAACAACCGATTCAAGCACAGAACATCTTGAAACCCCAGATTTTCCCAGTAAATACTCATGTTATCCCCCCCCCCCAATCTAATCTAACAAGCAAGCCTCAAATGTACTGGAGATTGAAGTTAAGAACATGCATTTATATATAGAAATTTGAAGCTAAGTATCTCTAAAATATACAATAATAATCCCAAAAAAAAATCAACATAAACAGCTCAAGAAACCCATGATCACTTGCAGAAAGCTGTCACAGACTCGGTTACAAAAAAAATACATCAAACTTGAGTCCTTTTTTAAAGGTTCTAGGTTCCAACATCTTTGATCCCTCTAGCACATCTTGTAATAATCTCACAACCCCTACTATAAGGATGAGCTTGACCAGCATGACAGTCATAGTAAGAAGCACCAGGCTTCTCACAAGGGACCATGTCCCTCCTCAGTGTCTCATAACTAATGTACCTTCTCTGCATCAAAAGCAGCCTCCTTTGGCTCTCGGACTCCATTTCTTCATCTCCCAAGCAATCTTCAAGCTTTTTGCTGCAAACCCTTTTCACCATGGCATCAACTTCACTGGTTTTCAGTGCATCTTGTAGCTCTAGAACTGAGACTGCATCATGCGTATGGAGACAAAGAAGGGATAGAAAGAGAGTGGTGAAGGTGAATTTGGGAACGGCCATTTTTAGGGAATTTTGGGGATTGGAGGAGTTAGCTAGGAGTTTTGTTGGTCTGTTTTTACGGGTCTTTCATGGGGGACTGAAAGTAAAGACATTTTAGAGTAGCTGAAGGGGTGCTGAATGAGGACAAGACATTGAAACAGTACAAGCTTTCCTTATATTTATGTTCCCACCAGATTAATAGGTAGAATTTAATTTTTAAAATTTCATTAATGAATTTTTTTAACTGTTAATCGAATCGATTTTTTTATAATAAGTAATTTAAATTAATAAAATTTGGTTAATTGGTCAATTAATCAAATTAACTGAAATTTATAAATAATATATATTAAATATTTTATATTTTCGATTAATTCAAACGGTTAATTTGGTTAAAACTAAAGTTTAAACACTCTAATATATTAATAATATATATAATATATTAATTTTTTTTATAATTTTGGTTAATTCGGTTAACCAACCGAATTAATCGATAGATGAAACTTAAAAAAATCATTAACCGTTAATCTACTGAACCTAAAATTAACCAATTGACTAACCGAAAAAACCTCGGTTCAGTCAATTAAATCGGTTTTAACGGTACTTTAAACACCCCTACAAATTATCCCACTTTGCTTTGAAATAAAAGGATATTTTTTAACCAAAATAAAAATTTTATCTTATCAGGTTAAATTAAATTACAACTTATCAAATACAAATTTTTTTGTATCTTTAAATATATTTGACTGGAGTTTTATTTAATTAAATTTAATATTTTTAATTAAATTAGTTGATTATAAATTATGAATGATAAGTTTATCTTTGAAATTATAATAAAATTTGGATTTTATTGATTTTTTTTCTTAATTTTCATGTAAATTAATGGGAAAATGTATTTTTAAATCTCATGAGGTGCATATTATTATTTATTTTTTAAAAGTTGTGACACTGTGTGATTTTGTGAATAAATATTGGTAATTTTTATTTGTGATGGTTATTGATTTGCAATTGAATTAGGTCAACACCTTTAATTTTGGGAGTGCTTGGCAGTTGGCTTATAAGTAGCACAATAATTGCTTGTGCTGCATATATAATACAAATTAATATTATAGGCTTATTTTTCACTTTAATTAGGCTTGTAAATGAATCGAACGAACACGAACAAAGATATGTTCATATTCGTTCGTTTAATTTTAAACGAACAAATGAACAAACACAAACAATTAAATGAACAAAATTTCTTGTTCGTATTGCTCGTTAAGGAATATAACTTGTTTATGATCGTTCGTGTTCTTTCGTTAAAATGATAAACGAACAAAAACGAACGAACATAAAATTAATTGAGTTTATATTTGATAAGAGTTTTTTCTTTCTAAATAATTTTAGGGTTTGTATTTTCTTTAATATATTTTGGATATTTTTTACTTGGTTTAAAATTAATATATTAATAGATTTAAGATTAAAATTTATTATGTCTTAATATTTTTAACGGGTATGGAGATTGGGTTGAATATAAACGAACGGATTACCGAACGTTCATAAACGTAAATGAACGAACCAACCCTTTGTTCATATTTGTTCATTTAATTAATGAACATAAAATCTTGTTCATATTCGTTCATTTAATAAATAAACGAACATAAATAAACTTCTCACCAAACAGTTTGCTCAACATTTGGTTCGAAAACATAACTAACTTTAATGAACTTAGGTTAAGGCTAAGTAAATGGAAAATAAAATAATTATTGTCTAACACTTCAATAAAAAATAAGATTAAAAATAGTAAATAATAATTTTTAATGAAAAAAGATACAGGTGAAGAAATTATTTTATTTTTTTAATTAAATTATTATATGATTCAACATGGAATTAAAGTGGTGTAGGTCCAGGAGTACTTCTCCCAATCTAATGCTATATTAAAGTCCAATGCGAAAAATATGTAGTAATTTAATACAATAAACAATAAACCTTAATCAATATTAAAAATAGTGGCACCAAAAGGAATTAATTGTGAAATTACAATGATTAATTCACAGTATAAATTGGTTAAATAAACTTATTCATAGGCATACAACTGCATCGACTCGATCTTTATAAAAATAAAATTTGATCAGACTCGATCTATAAATACCTCCAAATTGTTATCTATAAGACAATAATCATTTTTCATGATATTAATGAAATTGTTTACATCATCAGGAATTAGCAATTTGGGATTTAGATAGGGCTCAATATTCTCATAAATAACAGTATAAACCAAAATGAACCTATCAAAATTTATAGAGTAATGGACACTATGACTAATGATTTTGTTACTTTATATTCAACTTGTCACGTAATCATTATTTTCTTCTTTTAAAACTACGAAGAGAGGCACTCGAGTTCAGTATCTAGTAGTCACATTGGACCTCAACTATCATGAGAGTTCGGTCGGGTGGAACCCGAAACGGGAGACAGCTCTCTTAACATCTATTCTCTTCGTTCACAAGACTAGAAACCAACCATTAAGGATCATCAGGTTTCTCCAAAAGGCCTGTCAAAGCCAACCTTTTTCTTTTCTTATTGAGCTGTGAGGGCAAACTCGATTGATGAAGAATGTTTGACATCAACGCTCGGTTAACCCTTCCACTCTATATCCGAGACATACAGAAACCAAATATAGATTTCCATTTGCTATTCTACAATCATATTATCATTCTATCAATATTATGCTCATGTAATTTCAGTTGGATCCTATTTTCTCAAAAAACACGAAGATCTTAAATCATACATAACATTCACTACACAAACTAATGAATAATCTATGAATCAATCGGCCGAAATGAACAAGACAATGTCATAACTCCAGACCGATGTTACAAAAAACAATACCAAAATGTATGGGATGATTTGTTAGATGAACATCATAAGACAGAAACAACAATTCTGTTTCATTTTGCCAAAAAGTAAAGTTCTAGGCACTGAACACTTAAGTGTAGACTTCAGTTTCAAGATAGGGGAAAAAAGCAGTTTAGGTCCGTTTCGCAAGATAAAGATGGCCACTTAGTTACTGAAATCTTAAAAACTAGAAAGTAGAGCTACATAACTTCCTATTTTACAATTGAAAAAAGGTTGCTCTCTCTCTAATTTGAGCACTTATAGTAACATGCCATTAACAAAATGGAATTCAACATGATTTTATTCAAGCTAATTTTGGGCAGTTGTATATAAAATCAAATCCTATAAATGAAGTAACTATACATATCACAAAGAGAAAAGAAGGAATGAAAGACACCTTTGTAGACTTCTCACCAGATTTCAGGAAAGACAACTTTTCTGCTCATAGACTAAGCTGCTCAATGTTCTTAGCATTCCTGGCTAGTCCATGGTTCATCCTTTTGTCTTCTTGCTCTTCATACGGATCTACTCGATAATTGGAGCTGGCCTCTTCATTGTCAGAGGAACCTGGTCTTTCAGTGAGGAATTGTTCCCAAAATACATCATTCACTCTAACTGGAGGAACTGCAGGCTCTTGATTTCTGTTAGAGCCTTCTTTTGATGAAGATAATGTTGTTTCCCGATCAATCATGTTTCTGCTGTTCTCAAAAGCTCTGGGAGTGGGATCAGTGTCTTTACTGTTGGCATTGGACCTTGACCCTGGGACTTTTTTGATTTCCCAATTTAGTTGTGACATCCTTGTTAAGCTAGGACTTTTATTGACTAGCAATGACGAAGATGCCAGAGTTAGATTCAATTGACAGGAAATATTACTATCAGGTTCTTCATTGGAACTTAATCTCTGTTGCAGTGAATGCACTGTTGTGCTTTCATTCGTTGATACTCTCTGAGTGAAAGATGAATCCATGTTGAATGTAAAAGATGTGCCCGTATCTGAAAGGTCTAATGTTTCGGGAGTGAATAAAATGCCCTCAGGTCTGATATTATCATCCTTTGGTTCTCCTTGAGATATCCTTCTCTGCAGACTTTGTCCATCTTCGTTAGAACTCTGTGTGCTCTGAGAAACCAAATTAATATCCGAAACAGTTGATGATAATTCTAGTCTTAGCTTGTTCGAGAAATCGAGGTGGACAACATTTCCAATCTCAGGTGTAGAACTGCTTTTGTTATCCAAAAGATTATGCTGTCCAACTGGCTTGGTTTGATCATTTCCGGGCAGTCTTCTTTTCTTATTATATGCAGCAAAATCATCCACAGATTCAATCTTACGAAAAAGGTGTTCGACAAAAGAAGGGTCTTGCAAAGCCTTTTCTAAGAAGTTAAACAAAGTCTCCTGCCTCTGCTCCATTTGATCAGCCTGTAGTGTCAGCACTTCCACATGTTGCTTCAAAGTCAATCGCTCTTGTCTAGACTTCAAAACATTAGCCTCCAGTAAAACTTTTTCACGTGAAAGCTTTTCGATTTCTTCTTCATATCCAATTCTTTCTGGATCTATCAAATAACCTGGTGGGTTACTATGGTTGTGAATAGGTTTTCTGCGGTGAATGTTCTTAAGAAGATGCCTTTTATCTTTCACAAAATCTTCATTAGCGAATTCCCACTTTTCTGGATCAATTTTCCGGAACCCCTATCACCATATTAAATTCATATGCACTCAGATCATGCTTAGGCACTCAATTATCATACATCATCTAAGTAGGCAAACTATAAGTACTAGAAAACCATCTAATTCTCCTTTCAACTGCCCTATTCATCCGAGATAAACACAAACGCTAGACTACATACTCTCAATTGCAAAAAGATGCAGAAATTAAGTATATTTTGGTTGAGGAATGCACAAAAAAGGCAAATGAAGTCAAACAATTATGCCGAAGATTCTTAAATTCCAAAGTCAAAAGGAAGACTTATTTACAATCCTCACTTTTTCTCTACAAGATTGATTCACTTCCATAGTTCTTTAACTAAGAAAACACCTAAATTCTAATAGACGTTATGAATCACAGCAGAAGACATTGATAGAATGAAACCGAAGATGTTTACTCATCAGAAATGAACAAAAAAAAACGACAAATTTTCCATTCTCAAGGAACAATCACATAAATCACTCCATATGTTTGCTATCGCAATTTTGCAAAATGAAGTTAAATGTTAAAAAAGAACACATAATTTCGCCTAATTACCAATGAATTCAATCGAGATACATTAATTAGAGAAAAACCCAGAAAGAAAAAGAAGCCCACGTAGGTATTAAGCTGCCTGATGAAGCTGGAGAAGTTATTGTGCTTGAAATAGGTGGGAAGCAAAAGGCGGGCAAATTCAGGAGGGTTCCAAACCACAAAGCTCTTTTTGTTGGAGCTCCATGAAACGATGTCGTCCGTTGAGGAATCGTCCACCATGTCGTATGTCTTTACAAGAAACGGTGCAGGCCCTCCTCCGCCACCAGCGCCGCCGACTGCCGATGCGTCCATTTCTCGAATTTCCCCCCCTTTTTGGTGAAAATAGATTTAAGGGAAGAGTCGTCGAGTTTCCTAACGAAGAAATTCTACAATTTTGACTTTTATCTTATTGTGATGGTAAAAGTAAACATAATATTATTATATACGTTAAACTACGCATTTAATATTTAAACTATTTATTTTTATTCGTTTTAGTACTTAAATTTTTAATTTTTTAAAATCATATCTAACATTTAGTTTTTCTTTTATTTTAGTACCTCGCAGTTAAAAATTTAATAGACGGGATCGCCAACCATCGCGCCTACAATCGTCGGTCGTCACATCTATCGATCGATGAAGCCCAAACTTTCCACCCAGCACCTTTTCGACTCCTTGAACATGATTCCAACCTCGATTTCACTGAAAAATACATCAATTTTCCAAAATCGATGATGGACTCTTCGACTTCTTCATCCTTTGATCTATGTCGTCAACTGTCCGATGAGCCTGAAACTGGACTTTGTTGGTTGACTCGTCATTCTCTCGCGATCCACCATTCGGATTGGTCGTTCGTCCACATGTTAACGTCCAGTTCAGACTGTTGCCAATTTTATAACAAAAAATAACGAGTTTAGAACATATGAATACTCAGTTGATCATTTTGTAACTTTCAATAGTCGATGACTCAACAAGACAACACTCTATAGTCTAAAGACCACTTTATAATTTATAATAGTCGATGGACTTAACAAAGCAACACCCTATAGTCAAGAGACCATTTATGTACTTAACCCATTAATTCAATAGAAATGTAAGTTAATATAATCTAACAAGACGATTAACCCAACGCGGCCCGTCAATTGAATACACACATCAATACAAAAATGGTTGTATTTCTTAGTGAGAAGTTGGTATGAATTCTCCAAGTACTCTTTAACGAGTTTCTCCATCAACAATCAGAAATCTTTCAACCTAAATCCGTCCTTCTAATCAAGATAGATTTCCTAAATGTGAAATCCGAGCATTGCCTCAATGGACTGCATAACAAAGAATCATGCACACCATGATCAACTCCATGGACTGCATAAACGTGAAATCATGCACACCAAAACTCTAGTCAACTCCATGGACTGCATAACAAAGAATCAACCCAAGTCATCATCATATATCTAAATATCTGCTCGTACGAAAAATCCATAAGTTAAGATCTGATAGTTGAGAAATTACACTTCAATGGGTGCCGTGAGAAGCAAACACAGTTACAGATGTAATGACGAAATTGGCTGATCATCGGATTTTTTCCATGACAGTGTATGAAGCTCCCCCCGGCCCCCATCGACAGTCGTTGATCGAACGAGACATTCATGGTCCTCCTCATTTTCGATTCCGCTTGTAATACTTTAGTACTCTCCTTTAATTAAAAATTAAAATTTACTTGGGTCAAAATATATGAGAATCTTTTTCACATGATTCGCTAGAATGGTGGAACGTGTAAGTTGTAACATGTCAACTTGTCTTAATCTTTATCCAACTTGTTCTTAAATCCCACATTCACATTGACCGAAAACAATTTACTAATCGATCCAGATACCTAGTTTCCTATAAGGCTATAAATTTTAAAACCAGAAACAAAAACTCCTCAACCTCTTCATTTTCGATCTCATTTTTCCAGACCAGAAGATGGCAAAACCATGGCAAACCCTCGATTCATCAAACACTTGTTTGCTTGTATCCATGGTTTTCTACGTTCATTCCGTGATTCTCATCTGTCAATCTCTCGGCCTCTCGTACCAATCCACATTGGTGGCATCATTCGCATCAGTTCCTTGCTGTTTCTTCATCATCAGTAGTTGCCTGCAAATGGAGGCATCGTTTGGAAATCTTTACCAGAACTATTTATTGTTCGTAGCCGCTCATCTTACAACTGTTTGCAACCTCGACAACCAGGATTTGGCGAGAGGGAAGTTGTTGTTGTTCATGGGGATCTTGGTTCTTTCACTTTACACCATTTACATCTGGTGTTTTACTCAGCAGGGAAGTGATTCATCGGAGAAGAGCGGGTTTCGTCGTACAATGATAGCGGCCTCGTTTTCGTGCATGGCGAATGGGATCGCCTTGGCCGGAAGATGGTTCATTCCGGGAGGCAGCCTTTTATGGTTGATGATTGGGGCTGGTGCTATGCTTTCGGTTGGTGGTGTTTTCTTTTGTAGTTATCGCAAGTTCAAGAAGTCATGATCATCTCCTTTTAAGTACTTGTATTGAATTATCATGCCAACAAAAATGAGATACAGAAATGTTTCTGAATCAATCCATAAATTAAAAAACTTTAAATCTTATTATTTTCCTCTTCTGAATTAGCACACAAATATTTTGGATAGGATGATTTTCTGTTCTAAAGATGAGATGCTTGAAAAAGTTAAATCATATGTATTTTGACGACTATATGACCTAACAAAACATTTTGTATATCGCTTAACCAAAACTAAGCATATGACTTAACCAGAGTTTTGAGTTCGAGTTCTTGTATATGTAGAGAAATTTTGTTGTTAAATTTATCTACCAAAATTAAGTATATGACGCGAGTCAGTCCAAATTAATCAATGAAAGAGAAAAAATAAATAATTTTAATACAACTTAAAGTATACTTTCGATCACATGCAATAATCGTAGTTATTGTTACGAATATAATCGTGGATATGACATAAAGAACACGATCTTCCATCCACTTCAAAAAGAGATGAATCATAATTAATCGATAAATTCATTATTTTCATTCATTAAATTATTTTAAATTAGCATCCCATTCATTGTACATAGACTTGAAGCATATGTCATAAAGATTAATGCTTGACTAAGCTTCTAATTTTTATATATTTTGTAAGAATTCATATTTGACTAAATCTTATAATTGAATTTCATATAATTAATTGATTTAATAAATCATAATCGCTTTAAGAATTTCAAAGTCTATAAGAAAAAAATCATTTAAGTGTCTTGCTTACATTCGCACTAAATTAAATCTTTATTGTTAATTAAAAATCAAGTTTTTTGTCTAAATTTTACGTCGTTGATTATTTTATTTGTCAAATTATGTAGTCTTATAAACCAGACTTATGAGATGAGAAGGTAAATTATATGAACAAAATGAAACATCTATTATTCTTAAAATTTTATAAATTTATTTTTTATAATTATTTTCCATACAAACAAAACCTTAAAATTAAATCTGAAAATAAAATTTCAAAAGATAATAATGCAGATGTTTGACTATTGAACCCATACAACATACTTTCCAGTCTTAAAATCAAACATATATTAAAATTTTTCCATGTTTCCTCCATACTGGTGGAACATGCATGTAACGTGTCTACTTGTCTTAATCTTTATCCAATTTGTTCTTTGAATCTCACCTTCCATTGACTGAAAACAATTTATTAATTGAAAGTCAACCGATCCAGAAATCTGGTTTCATATAGATCTGAAACCCAGAAACATAAGCTCCCCAATCTCTTCAGTTTCTCTGTATCGATGATGGCAAAACCATGGCAAACCCTCAATCCATCACAACTGTCTTTGCTTCTTTCCATGGTGTTCTACGTTCACTCTGTCATTCTCATCTGTCAACCTCTCGGCATCTCCTACACTTTGACATTGTTGGTATCTTACGCATCGATGCCATGCTGTTTCTTCATCGTCTGTAAATTCCTGACAATGGAGGAATCATTTGGTAATTTTTTCTGGAACCATTCATTGTTCGTGTCCGCTATTCTTTCATCTGTTTGCAATCTCAACGGCGAGGATTTGTGGCTTGGGAAGTTTCTGTTTTTCATTGGGGCCTTGGTTCTTCTAGTTTACACCGTTTACACCTGGTATTATTGTCGGCAAAGAAGTGGTTCATCGGAGAAGATCGGTGTGCTCGTGGAGATCTCGTATTCGTTCATGGCGAATGGGATTGCTTTGATCGGAAGATGGTTCGTTCCAAGAGAGAAACTTTCGGGGTTGATGATTGGGGCTGGTGTTATGTTTTCCATTGGGGTTATTTTCTTTTGTTGTTATATGTCTTCTTCAGCCAAATTCAAGAAGCCATGATCATCTCCTTTAAGTGCTTGTATTGAACTTATTTCGGCAATTTATAATTTCACATTGGTATATGATGATATTACATTACATTATACGAAGTGCAATCATACTTTTAATTAAAAATAATTGACGAATACTAAGTTTTATCTAAATATGTTTTTACCATATTACTCTTTCTTGTTTTTATTTAATCGGCGGTAAAACAAATCTTAATATCTGTTGACAGTTTTTTTTTTCTTATTATGTCATTTGTTTTCATTTTCTTTCTTGAGTTTTTTTAATTTTAAATAAGAATCTTTATCATAATGACACATATTTCTTTACTATTGTGTCATACTTTTCTCTTTACTCTTGTGACACGTTTCTTATGGTTTTTTGTACGTTTTTCGCATACCTTTGCGATCGTGTTGGTGCTCACATAAAAATCCTCATGATATTTATTTTTTAATTGGTTTATCGGTAGTTAAGTATTGTTAGATCTCTTTTTTAATATTACTATTGTGTCATGCTTTTTCTTTACTATTGTGGCACGTTCCTTATGGCTTTTGGTACGTTTTTCGCATATCTCTGTGATCGTGTTGGTGCTCGCACAAAAACCCTCATGATATTTGTTTTTTGATTAGTTTGTTGGTGGTTAAGTATTGTTATATCTCCTTTTTAGTAAAATATTGTCAATTTACTGATAAAATCAAAATTGTATAACGAAGTAGTTTGTCAAATTATTTGGTTCACTCACCATTCCTTTATCGCTTCATTCTCAACTAAAGGTTTTGTTTTTCTTTGTATCTTTGGGTTTAATATTTTTGTGTTATGTATGAGTTTCTTGGTGGCTATTATTCCCTTTCTCTCTATATTTGAGTGTGTTATAATTTTGATTTATTTCATTATTTTTATTAATAAAACTCAATTATCATTGTCAAAACAATGATGACTACTCTATTTTATAAAGAATAAATAAGGTTTTTTTAGAGATTATAAAGAAAAATAATTTTGATCCTTTG